GTTTCCTACAAGAGTGTCCCACAAGAGTGTCCCACAAGAGTGTCCCATAGGAGTGTCCCACAAGAGTGTCCTACAAGAGTGTCCCACAAGAGTGTCCCACAAGAGTGTCCCACAAGAGTTTCCTACAAGAGTGTCCGTCTCACAAGCTGTAAGAGTGTCCTACAAGAGTGTCATTTGGACATATGTAGCTTTTCGAACGTGTTTGCATTCGGGTTCGTGGGCTCCATCTTGTTTTTTTGATGGGTTAGGGCACCCTCCCAGGACGTCCATCTCCCCCACCAAGAGATCTAACGTGAACTTCCTCAAGGAACACCACACCACTCCTTATGAAGCGGCCTCCACGGGGAGAGGGCAGAGCCCATCCGCGGGTCCGGACTACGCGCGTGAGGTCCGACCGGCTCAGAGGGTCCGTTCTCGACCCCGAGGTGTTCATCTCAGTCCACCAGTTCCACCAGAGCGTCATGGTCTCCGTGGCCACGGGCGGTGGGACCGGCGAGGCGGTGCCCATGCTCATCAGGCGGCGTGAGGGTCCGTCCATGGGGGACCGGGCGGGTCCGTACGGGCGGGTCCGTACGGACGGCTTTACTTTTTGGGGTGTTCGTGGGGGGGAAGTCGATGTGGTAGGATGAATTGTCATTGTTCTGTTCTTTATTCTATATGTTCGGATCAGGCGGATCAGGCGGCACTTAAAGGATACTTGATTCATTGATGAATCTTGATGATGCACTCCCAGAAGATAGGCTATATACCACTTAAGTGCATGTGACTATGTGTCACCAGAGAAGCAAGGGACTGAGTTCTTGCAGCCACAGTTGTCACCATGTGTCCATTTTAAGTTACTTAGTTTCCCTAATCTTCAAACCCGCGAAGAGTTGGCCTTTCGAGAGAAGGAGAGGTATCTCAAGCTTCTCCCCAAGCGCTGAGCCTTTTCAGCTTGCCCAGCTTGCGTTCTCCTTGCAGACACCAAACAGTTTCTACTTTTATTTCCAATCTCAGTAAGGAGCCGAGTCTCGTTGACCATTTGTTTTCTTGTCGCCAAGTCAACATCACCACAGCCGAGTCTCGTCGACATTCCCCAAGTCTTCGCCTCATGGGAAGCGATATCTGGCCGCTGGGAAACCCCTCCCCAAGCCTTCAGAAGACCATGTGAAGAATGGTTGACCTGGTTTTGCAGTGTCCATGGTTCGTCAGGCTATTCCATCAATGGTGGGGCCAGAACAAACTCCTCGGGTCTCGAAAAACACCCGCACGGTCTACCGCGAGAACACCGCGGGTCCACCGCCGGTCCACCGCCCCACGTGAAACGCGAGGATACCCCAGTTCGGCGATCCTCTGGGTGGAGATCGGATGCTCGGGTGTTGCTGGGCCCGTTTGGGCGGCGCTCCGCCGGATGTTCCGAATGAAGTTGCCAGGGTCGTTTTGGGTCGGGGGGCCAAATGGAGGAAACACAGGAGGTGATTAAGTGGGTCGTGCTGGACAAAGGAGCTGGCAGTGAAGGGGAATCTTGATTGAGGATGGTTAGCTGGTCTGATTGATGATGTCCGTTTGATGATTGGGTCTGAAGCGGTGTTTTTGGATGGTGATTTCCAGTTCAGTTCGTCGGGGGGGGGAGCATTCCATCGCCGCAGCGAATTGCATGGATACGAAACGTTTCTTTCCAACGTACGTGCAACGTTTCTGCCTTTTCATCTACGAAGCCAGCCAAGGTTGGCAGACATTTTGCACAGTTGGGAAGATCTAAGACTCTTGCAAGAAATCCTGCAGCCACAATCCGTATGCCCGGTCCTAGGATGATTTCTTGCGGGGATCTCAGGATCTCCAAGTGGTGCAGGATTCGGTGCATTGTCATCCCGTACCATGCTTGGAATCTCATGGGATGCTGGAAGAGTTGAGATTGGGGGATCTGATGATGATTCCTTTGAATCTCACCTACTTAGGAAAAGTGTAGAACCTTTATACCCGGGAACCTGAAGCTTGAATCTTTGGAAGACCACCTTAACTAGCTGGAAGCTCCACAAACCAGTGGTTTTCAGGTTCTCTGTGGGCCTCTTCCAGGGCGTAACCCTTCGTTGGGACTGATTACAGGCCTCAGAGTGCAGTGAACTGCTCGACCCTATGAGAGCGAGCTGCTGAATCTCCGCCCAACACTAGCCAGGTCAGTTTACAACACCTTGCCAACTGACCAACTCATGGCCACACAGCCTGCCGCACAAAACACACGTTCAGAACACTTTGCGAGACCCGGTCGTGCTATTTAGTATACTACAACTCTTCACCTCTACGGCGGCTCATCAGCTCCGACACAGCTGCTCAGTTATATACTCACTGATAAGTAATGCTTCTGCCTGTCGCTGTTCGTGGAATTTCTTGACGCGCGCCGCAGCAAAACAGTTGCTTGAATCTGACATGCTCTAAGTTCGCAGAAGAACGCTAGCCTGGAGTCAAAAAGGCCTGCTTTGCAGCAAGAGCCCCCCTGTGTATCTTGAGCCAAAATGGCTACGGTGCCTGCATATGTTGACCTAGCTGATGAGGTGGAGGGAGTTCCTATGGTCCTATACAGTTCGCACACACACACACACCCCACATACACGCATCTGTGTTACCTCAGCTGGAGAGTTGAAGCTGCTCCTCAACAGTTAGCAACTGCGCAAAACAGCGCAGGGTAACACATGGCTCTTTGTTGGGCCTCAAGGCCACATGCCAACAGAAGTGCACTAAGAATTTGTAAGTGTGATCACACAATCCTGCAACTAGCCCCGCCCTTCGTGACAGCCAATCTTGGGCTGACCCCCCCCAACCCATCCATTCCGCCGCCTACCCATGCAAAGTGGATCACCTGCAGGTGACCTGCTTGGGATTCGGTGAAATAACCCCCCCTAAGCAAGAAGAGATTGAAAGAAACAACACCATCCCATAGGACCATTAAGGATCATTCCAGGGGTGTCCATGATCTTCGTCCCGTTTTTTAGGGGGCGTCCTGAAACACCATCCCGCCGGCCGATGGCCATTCATGGGCTTCGGCTCGAAACGGGGCCAGGTTCGGCGACATCGCGCTGCCAGGGCTACTGGTGTCTGGGATGGCACTCCAACATAATATATACCCGTCTGGACAGGGCGTAACGTGATGTTCAGAACTGCTTGAAGGTGTGAGTTTGGTTGATGTCGAAGACCTGCGTGTTTTTGGATCCTTCTCACCATCTTGCTACGATCAAGGATGCATTCTGTTTCACCTGGTTCGCCTTTTCATGCAAATGGTGTTGGATCAGTCACGCCTTGCTTTCGTTTGGGACCTCTTGACCTCGCAAGGTGTCTTACCTGAGACGTCACGATCTGCTGAGCCATCGACGCTTCTTCGAAGGCTCCGCAGACTCTTCCGCCGGCGTGTTGAGGCGTTGCCCTCGTGGCCGCGACAATCCCCTGGAAAGTCCGCCACTTCCAGAAGGGGTAGACACAGCTTTGGTGTTGGTTTCCATCACTCTCCTCAACCACACAGCACAGTTCGAGACAAGTGCAGGATTCTTCCCTCAACCCGTGCAATTGACATTACACATCTCAAACCTGCAATGGAAGAGCTCATGCGGATCCACAGATTCTCCATGGATTCGTCCCATCCCTTGAAATCCACTGCCCCACTGTGGCCGCGCGTCTGGCAGGCTACTTCGGCCCGTCCTTACTGGGATATTTCGTAGGCCTTTGTGCAAGGGAGCCCAGCCAAGGCTTTTCGGTCGCCCAGCCATACCCAGCCGTCCGGGTGTACGTGCCGCCCATGGAGCTGAGCTGGAAGGTAGAAGCTGGCCACATGAGCTGAGCATGAGCTGTGGTTTTTGGATGCGCAATAGGTGGGTGGAACACCATTAATGGGTTGCGTTCAAGTGATGAAGCCACCGAATCGCCTCCGAATTGCCATGGAACCACACACAGTTGGACGTGGATCTGGCCGCAAAGTTGCTTTCCATTCTTATGGCATGCAGAGAAGCTTCTCCATACATATATTTGGCGTGGACCACGGTGGTTGACCAGGTTGCTTTCTAGTCTATTGCACAAATTCTGTTGATTTTGTGCCCTTTTGGGGTGATATTCTGGCAGAGAGGATGAGGGGTGCGGAAGTTACTGTACGAGACTTGCGGTCTCTGTGGCGGAGCCTGCAAGTGGATGTTCATTGCAAAATTGAGTATCTTGAGACTTGAACATCTCCTTTTCCAAGCGATGCAAAGACTTGAAATTAAGCCACCGATTCTAAGAGTCAGAGCGAGCAGGGAGCAGAGTAGCAAGCAGCAGATACCAAACCCATCCAACCCCTTGAGGCGACGATTGTCGCTCTCACCATCATGAAGATGGGCCTGGGCACCAGATTGTGAACGGGGAGCGAACGAGAATGGAAGGGAAGGACCCTGAAGAGGTGAGTGAAAGGGGGGGTTCGCTGAAGTGAGGGGTGGTGTCAATATGCCAAGCTGTTTGCTTCATGATGACCCCAATAAAACAAAGCGACTTCATGAAGCCAGTTGTGTGTTGTTCCTGGAGGATCCAATCCAGATTCAGTTTAGTTGCCAAGGAGAAGAACTGCATCTTGGATGGTGTTTTCCTCTTGATTTGGATGATATCAGCCTTTCCATCTCAAATCATGTTTCTAGTTGTAACCACATAGAAGGCAACTAGTCATACTCCAGCAAAAATCCAGCATAAGCACAAACCAACCACCTTGCCCATTTTTCCGCTTCTACCCAACCCCCAAACCCAATGGTTCCAGCCCAAGAGCTGGCGCGGCCGGTGAGCTCGGCGGGGCCGGTGAACGAGCCCGTTTGGCCAAAGCCGAGGTCAGCCAGCATTGCTTTACCTGGTTCCATGCACCTTAGGTACCACGGTGCTGCTGGCGTCCTGTCCCGGTGCCCTGTGGGATTGTTGGGAGGCGCAGACCACGAGTCCATGAGATCCGCTTCAGCATTCGTCCAGCGGTTCGGATCCTGCTCCGAAAAAAGAGGGCGAGACGAGACGAGACTAAGTGGCTTTGGATCCCCCCTCTAGATCAATCCATCTCCATCTGCAAAAAGGCTTCAACCCCAGAGAGGGTCCACCCATCCTCCTTTGGAGATCTCAACCCTTCATGAACCAGACTCTGCCCGCCCCCACCCCCCAAAAAAGCGGGCGCGGGGCGCGGGGCGGCGCTTCTTCCACCACCTCGCAGTCGCTTCGCCCAAACGAGGTCGAGGAGAACTGTCCGGTGACTCAGAGTCGGGCTGAAGGGGCCGCTGCAGGGCCCGCTGAACGGGCGAAGGGGCGCCCGGAAGCTCTGGCGACCTGGTGTGGTGGGACTCTCGGGGGCGTTTACCACGGCGGCCCGGGGGGGTCTCTCTCCCAGCATGGGAGGAGCCCTCAAGATCGGAGAAGCAAACGGGGCCACAAGATCGGTCCATGTGATCCAAGGATCCACTCGCTGGTGAAGAGGACACTCATGTGTTCGCTCATGAGGCCTTGGGGTGGAGACCCTCCGAACCTGTGGCAGGGAATGAAGTGGATGGCATGGCCTTAGGGAAGAACATGTTTCCTCAACAAACAGTGTGGGCCATTCACTCCCATGTCATGTGTTCGTCGGAGTGTATTGCCCTTAGAGATCTCATGTTGAACCTGAGCCAGGCAGCCTCAGGATGTCGAAGTCGAAGGAAGAAAGAAGCTTCGCGCAACTTTTGGTGGGATCATGGGGTAGGATTGGATCTACCAAAAAAAGAGCTTTAAGGCTTTAAAGGTCATTTTTGCGGGGGTGGGAAAACCACCCATTATTGAGGAATCACCTCGAATCGACATTCTTGGTGAATTGACAATACAATTCTGCAGACAAACGAGACCCCCGTATGTCCTGAGACAACTTTTGTTCACAGGGCAATTGGTGGAGTCTATCTTAGCTCCTAGCTTCTCCCTTACTTGGACATGCCCGCAGTGTTTACTTCCTTTGCCAAGCAAAGGAAGCTTTGGGCATCCGCTTTCCAACCACTGCAGCCACCAGGTATCCAAGTGATACAACCAAACAAATTCCATTCAGTCCAGGTGCCAGCTTTCTCCAGCACCTTCACAAGAAAGACCATCCACTGAAGCTACTTGAACACATCCACAGTCACAGGACCCCCACAGACCGCCCACCCCCGGGACCTCGGCCCAAAACCCGCAGGGCGGGCCACCTCCGAGGTCCCTTCTGTGGGATGGCAAGGTCTCGCGGCGACCCAATGAGGTGGACCGGTGGGTTTTCCTGGGTTTTCCGGCGCAGCGGTGGCCGTTCAGCAGCGGTTGGGTGGTGATGTTTTGGGTTTCGACCTGGGTGGAAACTTAAAGTCTATTTTGGACTTCCAGATTTGAAACAAGAAGAAACAGGCGCTGGAAGCAACTGTATGTTTCCAGCCTGAGACATATTCAGGCTTATTTAGACCATATTTCAGAAAATAGCCATAAGATTCTCACGTGGAATCTGGATGACATATTGCTACAATCTTCTGGGCACTCCTGGGGTATACCTCCGGGGCATAGCACGGCATGTCATGAATGCCATCCAAGGGGATTTCGCTTTGGCGCCGACCCTTGGATCGGATCCGCATCATCGATCCGCCGTGGAACAGACCGGGTCCACACTTGCTCTGGTGGGTTCCACTCGTCTCCTTGGCTTGGCTTTGGGTGGTTTCTCGTGGCTGGGCTTCTCGCGGCTTTGCTATTGGGGTTGATATATATACTTGTTTCATCTTGTTTCAAGTGTAGGCTGGGTGCTGCTGCCATTGCAGGGTGCAGGGTGCCGCTGCTAGCTCGCCGCTCCAGGCTGCTGGCGTGCTGGTCTGGCGTGCTGGTCTGGCGTGCTGGTGCCGCAGGTGCTGGAAAGTGCCACTCCAGGCTGCCAGATGTCTGTGGCCGTGTCACTTTGAGTGCAGGGCGCAGCTGCAGGATGCTGCCGGACTGTGTCCCGTGGGAGCTCTAGAGCTGGGTGCCACTGGTGCCACGCCGCTACGCAGCGAAGCTCTCGCTGATACTGGAGATCACGTGTATTCGCCGAGTCCCAAAAAAAAGCACTTGGCGCTGCCTACCAATATTTGTTGCAATCTGTGGTCTATGCCGTTGGCTTGATGGTTGGCCGCTTGCGTCCCCCAGCACCCAACTTCGCCAAGCCAGCGCTAAACCAAGCTCCAAGGATGTAGAAAGGGCCAAGGAGCGATGGCCTCCGCGACGGGCCCTTGGAGACTGGCCCGGGGTCACCGACGCCGCCCACGCCGACCCCATGTCACGTGCCTCCGAAGGCGAGGGCATTGGTCCACAAAAGGCGGCCAATTGAAACCTGTTAGGGCCTAATAACCCTCCAAAGGAGACCTGTTGGAAGGTGCTGGTATAGGTACGTGATGGCAAGGTAGAAGCGGTATGCCTGACGGCAGTCATACTTCTCTGATCCTTTTATTTATGTATTTTTTTGTGCTGTTCTACTACCACCCCATTAATCCGGTGCATGCCAGTGAAGCCACTGGGTGGCCTACTTCGGCTTTAGCACAGTGAAGTGACCAACAGTCGCATCCTTTGTTCGTTCCCAGGTGGTTTTTCACGGACTTTTTCCACGGACTTTGGGTGCAAAGAACAGAAGAAGGGATGTCTCCAAAAGCTTGGCCATTTCCCTATTTCATTCATGTTCCATGCAGCAGTTTGGTCGGTTTGTGTATGGAATTGGTCGAATTTGGTCGCCATGCTCCATGAACCGACCTCAACAGATCCCTAGGGCCCATAGGACATCGCCCATCAGCACATGGCTTCGCATGGCTTCGCATGGCGCCACATCCATCGGGGAAGGCCCCTCGTTGAAAAAGAGCCTCGGTGAACCGGCCTCGCGCCAGGATCCGCATTCGAGCGCCCGAGAGCTCAGTTGGAGATGCACGTTGAATCGTGCGAAAACGTGCTAAGAGCGAAGATCCCCACCATTTCTGCTGAGCTCTTCTATGACTAACCCATCGGATCCGATTCGGCCCCCCCACCAGAACCTGAACTCACAAACCTGACGAACCAGAGGCCAGAACCAGAGCCCCTGGTTGCTTTTTTCAGGAACCCGAACCTGACGAACCCAAGGTGTCACCCGAAAAACTCGGTCGACTGGCGGGAACTGAGCCAATTTTTGGCAAGGGACTCCCATGAATTGGCTCGGAAGTGGGAAGTGCCTGGATCCCCCTATGACTTCAGTGGGGCCATGGTTTGGCCATTCAGGGCCCTCAGAGTCGAATGCGAACAGAACTGGCCTGCCTGGCCAAGCAGCTGAACACCTCAGCAGTTCACATAGCTGTGGAGTACCACATCGCCGGTGTCCTCACGTCGCTGAAGCGCTGTGGTCTTCCACAGCTTCCCAGGATGGAGGACCTTGAGACAGCTCGGAATCGTGAGCCGAGCTGAGAGGATGGCCTCCTCCGTGCTAGTTAGTGCTCGCTGTGGCTTGGGGGTTGACGAGAGCAAGACACAACGGTCGACCAGCCTTGGGATGTTGAAGGAGGCTCCGGAAGCAAGCCCCAAGTGGTTTAAGTATATGCAAACGGGCTAGGGTCTTCGATGGGACCCGTCAGGCACCCGGGATGGGACCCGTCCTGTCAGGACGATGTCAGCCTTCTCAAAGGGCTCAAAATCGGAGGTGATTTTGGCTGCAAATGAGTATATCGCCAGCCCTTCAGCATCAAAACCTGTTATTTTCAAGGGGTGAACGCAAAAACATCGGGTTTTCACACATTCTGACATACATCGGGTTTTGAGCTGGAGTGCTCCGGGTTGGTTTGACTTCTGTGGCTTCATCGGCAAGTGTTTGGCTTCCCACGCGGCGCTGTTGGTCCGATGGCGTCGCGCTTTGTTGGAGACAATGGTCCGGTGGTTTTCGGTCGAGCAGGTCGAGGAGGGGAGTTTTTTTTCCTTCATGGAGAAAAATGGAAGCCTCATTGATGAATCACCTGAAAAGCCATTAGCTAGTAGGTTGGAGGCCATTTCTCTCATATGGAATGAATAACACCTCTTCATATGGAGGGTTAGATTGATCAAGAGTCTACATGTCCGTCATGTCCCCGTGTCACTCGTCACTCATCGGCGCCCAGACAAAGTCGCGAGCAGCCCTGGAACCCTGGTTCAAGGCAGACTGGGGTGAACTAGGTCGATAACAATCGCTGCAGAGCTTTGAGGGCCTTGAGGGTTGATGATTTGTGTTTCTGTACATTTGAACAGATGGTTAGAGATGGTCTTTTTAACCCAACCCCCTAAGGGTCTGATACTCGTTCAATTGAACAGCTGTGAGGCTTCCTGTCAGGTTTTCCTTCAAGTGGCCACATCCGATGTCCATCGGAATGAGACGTACACATAGCAGAGTACGCTACGTGAGTACTCACGTAGCAGTTCGGGTTTGGCGTTGGTTGAGGGATCTCATTCTGCTATTCTTAACCCCCAGGGGATTCTTCACCCCCAAGGTGCTACTTCTTCATTGCGAGCTTATCGCGGCCCGCTATTTCTCGATCAGCCAGCCAGCCAGCCGGCCGGCCGGCCGGCCGGCCAAGAACCACGGTCCAGCTGGCCGGCCGGCCGGCCGGCCAAGATCCACGGTCCAGCCGGCCGGCCGGCCGGCCAA